TTTCATCTTAACAACCATCATAACATCCAAGATAGTCAGTCAAAAATGCATCATTTTGATCTCTCAGGAAATCAAAGCTCGGAAATGACTAGATGTCTCTAACTTGATGAAACAATGATTTGACTTCCTGAAGTCAACAATCAGATCTTCTGAAGCATTTCATCCACTAGCAGGAATAAGCAAATTATCAGTATCCTTTGATGTTGTTTCTCTCGAAACAAAATGTCGTCTCGCTATAGACAACTTTTGAAAAACAAATTTTGTCTCACTTGAGACATTTTTCCTTTGAGATACAAAATTCGAATTTGTTTCACATTAAACAAAGTTGATCTCATTCGAGATCGCTTTCTAAAAAAAACAAACAAACTTCGTCTCGATTGAGACATTTTTCTATGAAATAAAAATTTAAATTTGTTGTACTTGAAACAAAATTATCTAACTTGAGATTGTTATTTCTTTCAAAACAATTATGTCTCGTTTGAGACATTTTTCCTTTGAGAATACAAATTTCGAATTTATTTCACATTAAACAAAGTTGATCTCACTTGAGATCGTTTTCTCAAAAAACAAACTTTGTCTCAAACAAACTTTGTCTCACTTGAGACAGTTTTTTAAAAACAAATTTTGTCTCGTTTAAAACAATTTCTCTTAAAACAAATGTTGTCTCAGTTGAGACAATTCTCCAAATTATGAATTTGTTTCACTGGAAACAAACTCATCTTTGAGTATTTTTCTTTCGAAAGAAAATTTTGTCTCGCTTGAGATAGTTTTTCGTGAAAAAATCTTTGAGTCCTTTCTTTTCAAACACCTATCTTTGAGTTAATTTCTCTTGAAACACCCACCTTTGAGATTGTTTCTATTAAAACAAATATTATTTCCCTTGAGGCAGTTTCTCTAGAAAATCAAAATCTTTGAGTTTGTTTCTCTTGAAATAAAACCATCTTTGAGTCGTTTCCCTTGAAACGAATTTTGACTATTGAGACATTTTCTCTTAAAACAATATCATCTTTGAGTTTGTTTCTCTGGAAATAAGGTTTTATCCCTTGAGACAGTTTCTTTTGAAGAAAAATCTTTGAATTTGTTTCTTTGGAAACAAAATTTTGTTTCACTTAGATACAATTTTCTGAAAAACAAAGTTTTGTCTATATTGAGACAATTTCTTTTGAAAAATCATTGAATATATTTCTTTGGGAAACAAAATTTTGTCTCTTTTGAGATAGTTTCTTTTAAGAAAAATCTTTGAGTTTGTTTCTTTGGAAACAAAATTTACCATCTTTGAGTCTGTTTCCCTTGAAACAAAACAAAAATCTTTGAGAACGTCTCCCTTAAAAACAAATTTTATTTCGCTTGAAACAGTTTCCTTTAAATGTCATCTTTGAGTCGTTTCCCTTGAAACGAATTTTGTCTCTTTCGAGACAGTTGCTTTTAAAAAACATCATCCTTGAGTCTGTTTCTTTTGAAACATCATCTTTGAGTTGGTTTCTTTTGAAATCAGTATCCCTAAAGATGGCCAGAACTCTTCATCACCTATGAGCCGTGTCATCCACCGACCAGATCTCTTCATCACGTAGGAGTCGTGTCAACCATAGATAACCAGCCGTCCTCATCACGTAGGAACCGAGTTATCACCCTTCCTAAAGATGGCCAGAACTCTTCATCACGTATAAGTCGTGTCATCCACCACCAGATCTCTTCATCACGTAGGAGCCATGTCAACCATAGATAACCAGTCGTCCTCATCATGTAGGAACCGAGTTATCACCCTTCCTAAAGATGGCCATAACTCTTCATCACGTATGAGCCGTGACATCCACCGACCAGATCTCTTCATCACGTAGGAGCCGTGTCAACCATAGATAACCAGCCGTCCTCATCGTGTAGGAACCGAGTTATCACCCTTCCTAAAGATGGCCATAACTCTTCATCACGTATGAGCCGTGTCATCCCTGACCAGACCTCCTTATCATGTAGGAGTTGTGTCACTCTTAGACGACCCGAACTCTTCATCACGCTCGGAAATGAAGCCTATTACAAGAAGCCCAAATAGTGGCCCAATACACAACCCACGTGGAAAACCCATCAGGTTTTTGCTTCAGCTCCAGCAGCCCATCAGGACCCAACTGACCCATATTGACCCGATTTCCTCAACGAGAAGGAACAAAGTCATATTCAACAAACAATTTACCTGAAAGCGACCAGAACTCTTCAACATGGATGAGCAACGTCATCTTCAACACCAAATTATCTCCAGATTGACCCGACGTCCTCAACATGAAGGAACAATGTCATCTTTAAGTCATATGTTTTCAGATAAAGAATTGGAGCTCCAGATGCGAAGCAAACATCGTAGCTAGAAAAAATTAGGCCATTATTTATCTTTGCTTCGTCATTGTTTACACAATAGGCAAGCAAAGAGGGGCAGTTGTAATACCCTAATTTTGTCCTAAAAATGAATAGGGAACAAAACCAATGACCAAGCTTGTACTATTACTTTTTTTATTGTGGGGGGCTTTAAAAGCCAAAAAGAAATCAGAAATCAGGGCCCTGTTTTTGTAACCCCATTCCCCATTTTGTAAACTCCCAGATTTGTAAGTTTAAAAACAATAAATAAAAGCTCTTTGGTTCTCTGCTTCAGTTTTTTTTTTGCTTTCATTTCTTTTTTTTTCTTAGTCTCATTACGTGAAGGTGGTGAAGGTGTAGGCATTGGTCGTAGTTCTACATCACTGGTGGGGAGTTGTTATTGTCCAAGTTAGTTTAGAGTCCCGACCACCATGGATGGTGGTCGGAAAGGATGAACAGTGGCTTACGTAGGGCATTCGGGTTTCGTCCGAGGGGTTTTGGTCTTTTTTGAGTTGGTTCGCGTTTCTCTGTTTGTTTCGATGTTGGTTAGGGTATGTGAGGACCACCGCTTTATGGTGGCCAGCGTTTGGCCTGAGAGAAGGGACCCTTATGGCCAGTTGTGCATGCAGAGAAGAAAAATAGGAAGTTTGTTTTATGTTTTTTTGGGTAAATCACGCATAGGTCTCCTGTTTTTTAGAGCCATTTACGTTTTGGTCATTTAAAAGGGGAAAACCACTTGTCAGTCCTCCATATTTTAACCTTTTTGCTCTGGTCACTTATTTATTTATTTTTTTCGAATATGCATGCATCTTTTACTAACTTTTAATTTGGTCACTGCTAACTGCTAACTTTTATCTTATTGCATTCTAACCATTATTTATTTATTTATTGTTTCTATTATTCGATTCGACCTTGTGGTGACCAGATCCGGGGTATGATCCACATTATTATGGTTCGGACTATGCTAACTACTGACTTTTATTTTTATTGCGCTCTAACCTTTGTTTATTTATTTATTGTTTCTATTATTAGATTCGGCCTTGTGGTGACCCGATCCGGGGTATGATCTACATTATTATGGTTCGGACTCTGTTAACTACTAATTTTTATTTTATTACATTCTAACAGTTATTTATTTATTTGTTGTTTCTATTATTTGATTCGGCCTTGTGGTGACCCGATCCGGGGTATGATCCGTATTATTATGGTTCGGACTCTGTTAACCGTTAATTTTTCTAACCGCTAATTACTAATTGTTAACCTTTTATTTATTTGTTTGTTTTATTTTATTTTCGAACCATGTACGACCTTACAAAAATTTGCCCCAAGGTATGATTTGCATCATTTACGGTATGAGATACATAATAAAATTTGATATTAATATTTTATTTTTATTACATTTTATTTCTGCATTTTAACTTTGTACACTTTTAAATTTATGTTTTTATTTTCTTTATTTAATTTAAGTATTTACATTTTATTTGTTTTAATGTTCTAATCATTTATTTTTGTCTTTTTATTTTTTAGTACTTTAATTTTATTCGTTTAATTATTGTGTTTTATTATATGTTTATTTTATTTCTATAATTTAATTTTTGTTGAGTTAGATTTTATTGCCTTACATTTTTGCCATGTATGTATATTATATATTTATTCGTATCATTTATGTATGAATATGTTCTTTGTACTTGGGAATTAGTTTCAAACGATTATACAAAATATTTGTTTCATTCATTTTTTTCGTTGTTTTACTCCAATATTTTCAAGAACATCGATTTTGTAAAATGAGTGTGGAAAGCTTCACTTGTCGAAGTGATGCGATCCGATACGATATTTTAACAAAATGTGAACTTGAAATAAATCAATTTTATTTTGCTAATTAATTCTTTTTATTTTAAGTTGAACAATGCGATGTGTGTTATTAAATAGCAATTTATTTTAGGCAAATATCGATTTTCATTTTTATTCGATTTGCGTTTATCGAAGAGGCAAAATTTTTTACGGATCAGAAATAGTCGAAATAGCTTTCCTGACGGAGGATTGTTAATTTCAAGATTTCTTTTCAAGATAAGCAATTTTCTCTAATTAATGCGAAGCAAATTAAATTAATTTTAATAAATGGATCACAATTTAACTTTATATTCAATTTATAGTTTCCACCATTACGACGATATGTAAGCGACACATTATCGATTTTTGGGCGTTGTGGGGGTGTTAATCCTTCCCCACACGTAACCGACTCCCGAACCCAACAAATCGAATTTTTGGTAAACGCAGACCATTTTTGTTTTCAAAACGATTTTTCTTAAAATTGTTTTAAAATACGTTTTTAGGTATTCGACCTACCTAACCCAAATGTCGATGGCGACTCCTTTCAATTTAATTCTAATTAATCCAAAATCACCCAATTTATCCAAATTAAAGTCATAATCGTTTTTTAAAATAATATTTATTTTTTTTTACGAAAAAAGGTTATGACAACACCAACGTACAACTCTCCAGCAATAAAAAAGGGGTTTGAGAGGAGGAACTCGGGGTATAACTCGAAACAATGTTACACAACAGATACTTAAGTATTCAGCAATGAAGAACTCGAGCAGCGTTGGGTAAGTATGCAACAAAAATTTTATTGCCTCTTACCTTGAGAAGAAATGCATAACTGTCGATGGCAGTCTGAATGTCACCAATCAAGTAATCACTTCGGTTCTTAGAATAAGAAAGCCCAACCCCAACCGAAGAATCTAAATAAATATTGTTGGAGACCTGAAATAAAAATAAGAAAACAAGCGTACTATGATACTTTTACCACAATAAGGGAAATCAATATAAACAAATCAAACATTTCCTTTATCTCCAATCAAGCCAAAGTAACTGAGAAATAACAACCTTGGACCAACTAGATGGACTGAGATGCAATTATGGCAAACCTCCCTTCGTCTTTGCTTCTTCGAAATTGAATGGCCCTGGAATGAACAATGAAAAAAAAAGTGCTATAAAAGTGATACAATGTCTCAATACCCTCATCTAAGTAGAATATGTTATCATGGTTGGGTTGCTATCGGAGCGAGGCTTCGATTTGACCAGCATGGGCGGTGTACTTCAACGGCGATCGGACGGGCGGATCGACGATTGGTAGCCGAAAGCTCTCCTCGTGATTAAGACGCGACGACGGTCAAATCAGGCGATTGGAGTGCTGGGGCTGGGTCGCCAATCGTTGCTGAGGCCGTTAGCGACGACGGGGCACTTCCACGGCGGTTGGAGATGCCTGATCGGAGGGCGAAGAGCTTTTGGGGATACACAGAAAATCAGGGGAGGGGGGAGGGTTTCTGGTTAGCTTGGGTAATTGGTCCCCCATTAAAATGTTTATTTTTTCATTTTAATTTATTTTTTATTTGCAAAAATTATTTTTTAATATTAAAAAATATGCCACATGGCATTTTTAATGGGTTAACGGTTAAATTTAACGGCCTGTCATGACGTGACGTATTTTGAGTTACGGAAAGAAACGTTCGGCACCAACTGAAACGAAAAAAAATTAAGCACTGAACTAGAAAAACGGATATAAGTTGTGTATATTAATGAGCTTTGTGATTTCAATTCCTCAGGTGAATTCAAATATATCGCAGCTGCAAGCAACAACATATCCAACTCTTTCTCATGTTTGCAACCCTTTCTCCGCACAACTGGCATATACATATCAGCCAAGTAACTGCCCTGCTAATACGATCAGGATTGACGACATACCAAAGGTATGCAATCGATCATACGGTTTCAGGTTCCGTTATGTTGTTTTCTTATACATTACTCCTACCTGATATTCATTTCGAGTTTTTTACATTGGTTCAATCCGATACTGCCCGTTAAATTTCAGGTATCAGTGACTAATTGTCCAATCTATTTGCAGATATTGAAAGTATTTACTTGTTCAGAAGCCAACAATGGGACCTGTCAAGGGGGACAATTCATATCCAGTAACGATTCGAGGCCTACACAAGTTCGATTCAAAATCTGCTAAACGTTTATCCAGGCGTGGAGAGTCTAGTCCAATGCCAGTCCGTGAAGGACGCATTCTCGGAGATCCTTGCCAAACACTGCAGACCATGGAAGCGATCGGCGCACATTGCGTGGGCGGCAATGGTTCTTCTCTCCGTCGTCACGGTAATTTCAGTTCTCGTATGGACAGTGCAAGCTCGCCATGATCATGAACTTCATTCATCAGACATTTCATCCAAACCCGAATCTCAAGCAACAGATTCGTCGGAATTACAGAAAAATAACGAAGTGATAATCAAGCATCACCCGACAAATCATGATTCAGTTTAAAAGAAAAAGCACCGAAGAACTCAAGATTGATACCTTGGAAGACAAGGCAGGCTGCAGCTTCCAGAAAATACTAGTTTTGTACAGGTAGAGATACGAAATTAATTAAACTGAAATAATGATGGAGATAATTTATCTGAGGTAGGTAAAGAAAGATAGAATACAAGTGCCATTTTGTTTGGTCTGATTTTAAGTTTAGGTACTGTAGTTGATTACATACTTTTTACTTACTTAATTTACCATCAACCCCTTTAGACAATGCAAACATATATTTGAAGAGAAATAAAATTGATTCATTTAAATTAAGGTGTGGGGTTTTAATAATAAAATGTGTATTTAACCTCTCAATTGGTCAATTTCTCTTAAATTGATATCTAATATTTACATAAATTTAGTAGACAAACCCTAAACCCATCATCATAAATATGATCCTTTTTTCAGGAAATTCATTTTGTTCTTATCTGTCAATGGAGAAACATAAAAGATTATGACAATGTTAAAATAATTAACATTAAGTTAGAAGAATAAAAAAGGAAAATGTTAATTGAGTTAATAATTTTTTAAGAGTTTGATCTTAATTTAATTTGACTCAAATGATATCAAACAAAGAGAAAATTAGAAAAAACAAGAGACATAGTTTGGTTTGAAAATTTAACCTCTATTCTATTTTATGTTGATTGAAAGCATAAAACATAGATTTCTTTTACACAAATTTACATTACAATAAAAATAATTATTCATGTATATAAATATTAGGAGTTAGATATCAAGTTGTTTTTGAAAATCTTCTTGTACTCTCTATTCCATACATGGTTTTTTTTTCTTGTGAAGTGTGAACTCTGGTTTAATAAATCTATGAAAACATATGAGAAGCCATGAAATATCTGATTTCAGTCTGCAGCAACATTTTCACACACAAAAAAGAAGATATTATTCATCTGAGACAGGGAACTGTACTATATGACAAAATGAAAGAATTATAAATTGAAAGAACAGATGAACATAACAAAAAAAAAGAGATGCAGTAGTGACCTCAAAGTTCAAACAGCATACAATGTCAAGTTGATGGCAGCATTCAATTCAACTACAACCACTTGTGAAATATGTTATTGATCCTATTTTCCCAAAGCTGATAAGACCCTAAACACCCAGAGAGAAGATAAAACAAATTGTCAGTTCATCATAAAAGAATTCATTTTGAAAGAAAAATCCAAGTTAAAGCTTATGAAACCATGCTTATCTAAAGGTTCAAAGTAGACCCAGAAACACTTTTGAAGCTTTTTTCGCAGATTGCAAAAGATTTTGCTACTAGGCAAACCCACACGGCAAGTGCTGTTTCGATTTGTTTATTCTAGTTTACAGGAAGAACTGCAGATCATTGGTCATTTTTGAGATGCAGCTGCAGTTTCACTCAACGATGAACCTAATTGAAGCATAAGAGGATATACAGGACTGAACTCCTTGTCTCCTCTAGCCCTAACCTTTGCAGCATAATCATCCAGTGTTGCCTTGATTCCTTTCCAGATCTGATCTTCTCCTTGAGAATCCAGCCACAACGAATATTGCAAATGTGTAAGTTTGTTCCTCTGGAGCGGCGATTGCAAGTCTTCAGGGCCTCGGGAATAGATATGATGCAGTATGGCACTAGATGGTAAGTCTTGAAGAAGAGGAGATGCTCCTAGTTGAGAAGTTTCCAAGAAGATTAGTGGCCGGAATGCTCAAAGAGCTCGGTACGGTGCACCTAATTGTTCAACTGGGAACAAATTTTGGCCCACAGCTAATTCCAGCTCAGCCATGTCTCTGACCATTCTCAGCTTCCCCGACTCTGAAAGGGGTCTAACAAGAGAAGCGTGCGTGATAAAGAGAATCAAAACCCTTGAAGCCATGCTCCTCACAAGCCTTGTGCATATGGTTTCTGTTCCTGCAGTTGTAGCATTGGCTGAAGATGGCAACAGCCTTGAAAGGAACTCACGACGAAAGTGAAGAATGGACTTTTGCAACTCCTCCATGTAAGGCGAAGCATTGTTGTCCATAGCAGCATCCATGCCCAATGCAGAAAAGTTCTGGTCATGGATTTGCAAGATGCAAGATTCAAGATGATCAATCATTGCCTGGAACAAGGATGTTATAGAGTCACAAGCAACACCATATATTGCACCAAGGTGACAACACATCTGCAGCAATAGTTGGAAGCCCCATGATCATAGAAGTTGCACGTGTGTGAATTTCTTGTAGATGCTGACATAATGCGAAGTTCTTGAGCTGAGATGCGGTAGCAGGACCAGATACTTGGCGGGCTTCAGGACCAATTGATATCTGCCAGTTTAACAAAGTTGAATACACGTATTATTGCATATATATGTGTGTGTTTTGGATACAACAATTATGTACTATATGACACACACAGAGTTGTATTAGTTGGTATACTACTATAAGATTCGGCCAAGACTTTTCAGGGTTGAGGAAAGGAAATCTTCAGAAATCACCAATGAGATTAAACTGATCACTAGTAGTGAATGTGTTTATTTGATGATAATTAAACTTTACCCCATGCTGTTACATCATGATGCAATATAATCACTGTGACCTAATTTCCCAAATATACCAAAAACTTACAATGGCACTGCAGGGACGAAATACTAATGAGTTCTTAATCATAAACTCGTATAGACAAACCATAGCAGATATATGAAAGGCAATGAAGAGGTAACATCGTTCATCCTCCCCTACCCTGAATCCTGATCCAAATTCTAAATCAGGGATGTAAAGTGTTTAGTAATTAGTGTATACTAATGTATAATTCAGCACATAGAAGTTACTGAATTCAGTAAGGAAACAGATTTTGCACAGGAAAAATGAAATACCAGATATTCAGCTCGTTCTGCGATCAGCAGCAAAACCTTACTAATTTCACGCAGCACAAGAAGAGTCAATCGAGCATCCAATTGAACAGCTTCGATTTCTTCCTGAATGCAAGAGAGAATTCGAGAGATCTGTTCTTTGGAAGGAACACTACCACGACTGGATACTGGGAAAACAGAATTAACAATATCTGACAGACGTCTTAGGCAGCCAGCCAAGAAAGCCATCTGAAAAGTTTCAATAGCCGCAACCATTTGAGCTTTTCCCTCTGAAGTTATGGCTGGTAACACCCCCTTGACGTCAGTGTCACGTGAAATTCCATCAAGAAGATTTTCCATCATAGAGAAGAGCTTCGGATACCCATTTGTGAATATCTCTTTGACAAAACTGGATGCAGTAAAAGCAGACTTCATTGGATAGCAAAAGCCTTAACTAGAGCTTCCCACACCCGATCTGTCAGCATGGGATCACCCTCCTGCACCAATCAGTATAAATAATTACAGTGAAACAGCAGTTACATGTTATGTTATGTCACTTCCTATGTTGTTATGACTTTCATTTCATGTCTAACACTAAATTAGACTAATTCAATTATGAATCAAAATGCGTTTACCTTGATGACTTCATCAAGCAGAAAGACATGTGAAAAGGGATCTCTCTTCTTAGACAAAACCCTCTGCAAATGCCAAATTGCAACCATTATAGAATGCAATTGATCCATACAACTCTCCATCCGCTGCCACAAGGCCTCTCTTGCCTTCCCACTTCCCCCAATCTGCGGG